AGTCCCTCGGCCCTTAAAGGGGAAAGGTTGCCTACCCCTGCTCCATGTGAAAGGGATCTAGGAGTCCTACTAGACCACAAGTTGAGTCAACAGTGTGATGCCGCAGCTAAAAAGGCCAATGCAATTCTAGTCTGCATTAATAGAAGTATAGTGTCTAGATCAAGGGAAGTAATAGTGCCACTCTATTCTACTTTGGTCAAGGCTCACCTGGAATAATCCTGTGTCCAGTCTGGGCACCAAAATTCAAAAAGGATGTGGAGAAACTAGTGTGTCCAGAGGAGGGCCACTAAAATGGTGAAGGGTCTGGAAACCATAAAGCCCTATGAGGAACGACTTAGGGAGCTGGATATGTTTAGCCTGGAGAAAAGGTTAAAAGGTGATATGATAGCCGTATTTATATATTTGAAGGGATGTCATATTGAGGAGGAGAATAGGACCCGGAAAAATGGATGCAGGCAACAGGAAAAGAGATTCCAGCTCAACATTAGGAAGAACCTCCAGATGGTAAGAGCTTTTTGACAGTGGAACACACTCCTCCCTCAGAGATTTTGGTGGAGTCTCCTTCTTTGAAGGTCTTTAAGCAGAGGCTGGATGGCCATCTGTCAGGGGTGCTTTGACTGTGAGTTCCTGCATGGCAGATTGGGGTTGGACTGGATGGCGCATGGGAGTCTCTTCCAACTCTATGATTTTATGATTCTATCTATCTATCTATCTATCTATCTATCTATCTTTCATTCATTTTATTAGTATGTCGTTGTTGTCATATCTCTTCCAACTCTATGATTCTATGATCCAGCCTCGTACGGTTGGCTCTTACAGTGGGGAGAAAAAGAGCAAAGTTATGCGTTCAAGAATGAAATGGACTCTGATTCCCATCCCTGTTTGTTCCAAAATCATTGGGGGAAGGTGAGCTTTGCTTGGTCAGCTTGCCTGTTCTCTCTTTCGGGAGCGTTCCCATGGGTCCTTCTCCCTCCCAAGGGAATTGGATGGGAGCCCCTGCTGTGGAAGCCCTTTTCTAATGGGACCATGCAGTCTTCCTCTGCCACGGCCAGATGTTTCCACCAGGTTGGAAAAAGCAGCTGGGAGGCTTGAGACCTGCAATGCCGCCTCATTAGACAGGCTCAAGAGAGGGAGAGAGAATTCGATCTCATGCCTCAATGCAGCAGCCGTTTGGGACAGAAAGGCTGCCCCACAAGGGAACTCCGCTGCACTCTGAAAGCCAGGGGCAGAATGAGAGAAGGCTTGGTCTGAATCAATCAATTTCTCCCTGCAAGGTATTCAAGGTGGTTTCTTGTATGCCTTCACTTTGCTTCCAACCTATGGAGACCCATTGGGGTTTTCTTGGCAAGATTTGTTCCCCTAATCCCAGTGAATATATGGGGCCTGCAAAACTTAGCCCCCCCCTTGAATATCATTTTTGGAAGAAAGGCGAGAATAATATCAGTAGGGCCCACTGTCCAATGTTTCTCCTGACCTCGCAGGGAGAAGAGCAACCGATTTTTCTCGGTGGGAAGACGAATGTCCAGAATTATTATTATTGTTATTGTTATTTCTCCTGTGACCT